AAAAATAATTGAAGCAATTGTCTCAGTTGTCTCCAGGGTTGTCATGATGATGTTGATAAAATCAAATAAAGTTATTGCAAGTTGTTAGTGAGCAGCACAGTTGTGAATTGGCAGTGGATGAAGCTGAAAAGCTTAAAAGGTTTGCTCGTTACCTAGATTTATTGTTTTCAGTTGTGGGAAAATGTTGGCTAAGCAAAAATGCCATGAATAATACCTGGTCCTGGTGGTGCATTTCAAACAAAAGTTTCTTTGTTTTTTATACCTTTTACTAGATTATTAAAACCTGCTCTGTCAGTCCATGCATTCTTAACATATGTAACAGCTTGGTTTTATCCTATGTAGCTGTTCACATAGCCTATGTGTCTGTGAAGAGCAACACTCAGCAAGGTGTAAGGACTGACAGTATGTGAATCTTTGCAATTCATAAACTGGATGCTGCTCTGTTAGGAGACATTGTGTCTCATTCCTTCATTTTGGACTACTGGAGTCTTAATTTCCTAAAGGGGAAGAAGGTCAGGACCTGCAATCTGCATCTTTTCCCCAAGACATCCTGGCCGTCTGCTGCTTCCTTTGACTTCAGTATGAAATTAGGGTCATGAGCATTTCCAATCAGTTGTTGAAAACTCTCCTCTTGTAAGTGTTTGCTCTTTGGTAAGCCGTGCTTGTGAAATTAATCCTCTTGAGATCAAAGAAGTGAGACCTGTATTACTGAAATATTTCATAAACTAATGTACTTTGCTTATATAATCCTGTTCTCATTGAATTTGATGACAATTTGTCAGCGAGAGTGGAATTGACCATTATTAACCTTGAGGAGACTCGGAGGCAAGACGATACCAGATGTTTTATTATTTTCAATTACCTCGTGTCTGCTCCATTTTTTATGAGTTTATTTACACTGCCGTGTGCCTCAAAAACAGTTAGTTTGCTGTTTACAGGAAAAGTTATTTTATGAATGGATGAAGCTCATGATTTCCTCTAGTGGCCAACAGCACCAGCAGGAGGTTCTGTCTGTCAGCTGAGTTGTCGATGCATTGTGGTGGGGGCCAGATTTCCTTCTCTCTGAAGATGTGCAGGACAGGCTCTTCAGTTAGGTTAGCAATGCAAGTCTTTATAGCTAATAGTGTGTGTTTGTTTATTTATGATAACTACTAACTATTTAGGCTGCCACTGACACCACAACATCAATCACTGTGCACCGTTCCGGTACTTAATTCAGTAATCCCATGTTTTGCTTTGACAAAAATTAGGAATAAGTTTAATTCTTTACTTTTTCAATGCCAGGTGATTTTGTAGTTCTTACAGAAATCGCTAATATTAATGCTACAGTGGGCATTCACAGTAATCTGTCATTTTGTGAGATGAGCCTGTGCCATTCGATATTAATTCCTAATAAGATAATAAATGCGGAGAAGCAAAATATGGCTTTTTTTCCTAGATTCAGATTTTATATATATATATATATATATATATATATATTTCTTTGCATATACTAGCAGATTCAGGAAGGGAGTCCATCAGAATATATGTAAGGAGGTAACAGCCCTCCAAAATAGTGTGAATCTGAGAAGCACTGAATGCAGGGATGGAAGACCTCTTCAAGCTCCTTAAGCACTTGAAACCCAGGTCTTACTGTTGTTGTTCTTTGTGCAGCCTGTGCTTTGCTGTGTTGGAGAGTGTTTTTGATGGAGAAGAGGCAGCCTGTGGGTGGGTGCATGCTGCTTTCTGGCTTAACATCCAGTGGAAATACTTCATGTTCCGCCTGGTGAGGTGGGTGAGGGGTACATGAGGTGCAACATCAGGAAATTGAGCCCAAATGTCAGGGCTTCGTGGGGGTTCTTCCAGCACCAAAGGTGGTGTTGTGAAAGTACACAAAGAGCATTATAAAATGCAATAGGAAGAAGAAGAAGGTCTACTTGCTGGAGTTTGGGAGAGGAAATAAATCCAAGGCCATGGTTTCTTTTTCTCCTCTCACCAGAAAGAAAAATGTCTAATGAATGTCTCATGTCTGAAATACTGGGCTGGATTCATCAAAGGGAGTTAGTAATTACCAAATTGAGAGAATCATGAAGCGCTTTTCTAAATTTGAAAGGCTCATCAAGAATAGATCAGGAGCAGGCAAAATTAATAGTTATGAACTCATTTCCATAGAAATGGACTTATTAGCAACCATGCCAGCTGCCTAAAATTATAAGGTCTTTTCCTTGTGCTTGCAGGAAATAATCTTTTTTTATAAAAGTAATTTTGACTTTTTATTTTTTATGGCTCCTCTAAACTCAAACTGAGGTTTGGCAAAATCCTTCTAAACCAAGAAAAGACTTCACCGGGCAACAGAAGTATTAAACTAAGAAGAGAAGAAAGATTTGGAAAGGGGAAGTGATTTATAGTCCTTAGATTCCATCGGGCTCTTCCCAACAGTGCAGACTTACTTAAAAGAAAATGGAATAAACCTCAAGAAAAAGCTGAAGTAGGATAAAGGATAAAATATGGTTTAGTGGGATTTAATGACTGATAACAGCATGAGTTACGTTCATCATCTCCTTTGTTAGTGGGTTTTCCCACTCGTAGTGTTTTGTCTTCACCAAACACTTTCACATTGACAGTGACCACAGAGACCAGTGTTGGTCATCTGCTGAAAGTCACATCAAGGAGAAGCTGAGGGCTGGCCATAGCAGGGTGGGATGTCTCCTTCGATAAAGGGGTGCAGTGCTGCACATTGAGGAGAGAAATTTAGATGCAGGCGTTGTGATGTGGAGTTACCAGCTGATGGAGCTGGTAGAGGTAAATGCTAACCTTTAAAGTCTTGCTTATGATTTAATATAATTCTGCTTTTACTTTGGCAACCTCGTTCAATTTCACTGGAAAAGGCAGCAGTCTCCCACATGGTATTATAGAGGGTGGATAATAAATTGCATGAAGTGCGAATATAGTGCCGATCGTCTTGCTAGGAAAGAAGCCTCTGCAGGAGATGCAGTGGTGAGCAGAAAAGCTCAACTCTGAGAAAACTTTTCAGGTTTTATCATGGTTTTTTGTTAGAGCTGTAACCCAGGAAGAGGCTCAGAACAAAGAGGGTGGGTTAGTCCATGGGGGTACTCTGTGACCCACATATTGTCACACTTGGCATTGCATGAAAGCTGACTCTGTCCTGAGGAGGAAAAAAAGAGCCCATAGCTTTGAGAAAATCCATTGACCCGCTGTTCTGGAGGAAACTGGAAACCTGCTGGCAAACAAAGGGGTGCAGAAAGTTGAGCACTTGTTTGCTAAAGCTGCACAATCGGTGGAGACTCCAGAGTGAAAGCTAGCTGCATACAGTAAGTCCCGGCCTTTCAGGAAAACTCCAAATGGGAAATGGACTTTCATGCAGTATTATGATCTCATGTTGCATGGTTTGCTACTGAGACAAAAACAGAAAGCAGTTGGTGAGCCCTGTTGTTTTTCCAGGTAACAATAAGGATTCTCTTTTGAAGCAGGACCACCGCCTGCCTGGAAAGTCAGCTCTGCTTTAGTGTGCATGAACTATCAGTTGGATCTGAGGAAAGTTTCTGTTGTGTCACTGCTCATTTCCAACCCAGCAGTGAATGGTCACGTCTGTCTTCAAATGAAACTTTTGTCTGGTGAAGGCTCCTCGCTGTTCTAAGGATGCAGTGAAGGCCTTTGCGTATTGGTAGGGGCAGGAGTCATTTACTCCCAGGTATTACTTCAACTTGCTTATATAGACAAGATGCACATGTTCTTCTTTTAGAAATCTGAGTCCCGCTGTGCCATAAAAATAGAAAATCGCTATTATGGTTACCTTGGGAGTGTATAGAAGAAAAACGAGGAAAGGAAAACTTGAACGCATGACAGACAGAGCAAAGGCCCATCAGTGGGACATACAGATTTGATTGATAACTACAGACTGACCTGACAGTATTTGGACTTTATTTCATTGGTGAATCCAAAGCAAAACCCTCCATCAATAGTTTTGTTTAGAATTGGAAGCTGCTTGTGGGTGTTTGTGAGTGGCAACTGTTGGCTCGAACAGATTGAACCTACATTGCAGATCCAGACGTTCTTAACAGGGCTAATAACCACATCCATAGTTAATGTAAAGCTCATCTCAAGATTTTATTTCTGCATTGCAAGCAAATTCATTTTATGTAGTGTAGATAAAACAAACTGCCAGAAGTGATAAGTGGAAAACCATGAAGTTGAGTGTGCCATCTTAGTGCCCACAGTGGTTAGATCTTTTAACAGAACAGCCTTAATTACATCCATAGTAATGTACAATAATATTTCTCTTAAAGAGATTTTGCTGGCTGCCTGGTTGGCCACCCAAAGATGCTTCTAGTTTTGCCTGAAGGTGGATATTATCTTCTGTCAGCATGGAAAATATTTATCCTCCAGCCATTGAAGCATATGTTTGTGTTGTTTCTTGTCAGAAAGAAAACATGAAAATCAATAATTCCTGCTCATTTTTTCCCTTTACAATGTGCCTTCAAAAACATATGGCAGAAACAGTTTCTTGCCTCTGTGCAGTTGGGAAGAGGAAAAGGATGTTTAAGTGTCTGTTCTTTGTAGCAGCATACAGGCAACCCGCTATGAGCACAGCTCTTGAATCACTGCTGTGGGAAAGGGCACACCAAAGTTTCTGGTCTGTTCTGTTGTTCTGGAGCACTAGTATTTGCAGCACCATTATAATAATGTATTATATTGAGTAATTCAGCAGTGCAGTTCCCAAGGTTTGGGGCTTGTTCTGTATGTTCTTCACGATTACATGGAATGAATGCTTGGGTTTAGTGGGAAGGATGGCTCTATGTCAGGAAACTGGAAGATGTTGTCAACTGTCTATAAAGGATGGCTATTGCCCATACTGGCTGTTGCTAGTGTATAGCCTGGTTTAGGTTTCTGTTTGCACGTTAAATTGAATGGTAAATCTTCTGTTGAAAAGAGAAGTCAGAATGTCAGTAACATCCTACTGACATTTCTTCTATGGACAATTTTGTTTTCTTTCTTCCCAGAGCAAACATCACCTCCTATGAGATCCTGCAGATGGACTTTGAGATCGACAACACCAGCAGCCTGGCGGGGGCCCAGCAGATCACCTGGCAGGTGGAATACCCTCGAGATGATTCTCTGAGCGAGCTGGTGGTCTCTGAGATCTTTGTCAGCAGAACGATGTTTGCTGGAATTGTTCCTCTTGCCATGGTAAGAACCTGCTGCTGCTTCTTTCTGCTCAGTGCTTCTGCTGATTCTTGTTAGTATTCAGGGGAATGTGAACTGTTTTATTACGTGCTACTTCCTGTGCACCTGCTGCAAATGATTTAAATGCAAAAAATACTTTTCAATAATATTTTATTTACCTGATATGCCATAATGGCTCCTAGGAAACTATTTGAGTCTTTTGTGTAAATCCTTTAGTGTTTGTGGATTATTGGCCTGGTACATGGTAATAGCTCCTTTGGAGCCATTGTCTTCTGGTGTATTAATGTGACTGCCGTGCATGTGCTCTAAGGGTAAATGTTGCAATTAGCTGGGACATTTTCAATGAAATAAATTATCATGCAAGTGAGGAGAAACTTCACTGCTAAACCAAACAACTGGGCTGGTTTCTGCTTTGCTTTTCCCCTGAGAACCATGTAGACCAGTGAGCTGCAAAGTGTCCGTTTAACAAAAGGTGCTCTTGGAGTTACAGGAAAAGGACAAAATACTTTCTGAAGGTTCAGGTACTGGACATGTTTTCCAGGCAGGATTTAAGGTGCATAGACCAGGGTAACAGCCATATCTCTGTAAATTTGAGCTAAGTACTTCTGAAGGGTAAATTGCTTTTTCCAATCTGTCCCTCTGCCTGTGTTGCTTTTCTTTCTGTTCTACTAATTAACCAGGGAATATTGGTATTTTTCTCTGTATGGCCACTGGCTTCTCCTAATATGGCAAAAACAAGGAAAGATACTTCTAAAGGTAAACAAGGCCCTACATAAATCTTATTTCCAGTTCCTACTGCCAAAGGCTATGCTTACTGACAGCAAGGGATAGAGGAGAAATGATGTGTGGAAAAGTCAATAGAGAATTTTCTTCTAATAAACAGTAAGCATGACTAGAAGAGATGAAAGAAACCTCTAATTGTGTGGATGGAACGTTATCAAGTAGCAGTGATGAATCAGATATAAAATAAAAGCGATGTAGTGCGTGAACTGACTTGCATGTAGCATTGCTGGTTCCAAATGGATAGCACAGGTTTTGTGCCATGCAGAGCACTGTGGGTATGCAGGAAAAGCAATCCAACCCCAAAGCTCATTGTCAACTCTGGATGAGAGCTTTGCTTCTTTCTCTGCCAGGGTTCGGCCAGGGCTTCACTTCATCTCTTTGCAGTTATGGCAGCTGCTTTAAGCTATCTCTAAATGTCCTTGGACAAAATCTGAGGCAAAACCTGAATTTGAAGTGGAGCTAATCTCACACAGTTCATTGTTATAAGATAACTGTGGAGTAGAGCAAAAAGCTTTATGGATTTATGTCCTTACCCCTTAATTGAGGGTCTCATGTGGGCTATCACTTGTTGCTGCATGTGAGCATCCTTGGCTGGCTTGGCGCTAGGCTGATAGAAGAACTGATGGCAGCAGTGGCAGGAGCAGCAGCTTATATTTGCATTTCCTTCCCTTACGATTGCTAGTTTGCGGTGCTGCTCCATTTAATTGTCACTGACTGATGCAAGTTCTGGCACTACGTTGCACAGTCAGGGACAAAAGGAGGGGTGTTTGGATGGTACTCTCAGACATGGGGTTTGGGTGCTGCTTGTGGGTCTCTTCCAGCTCAGGATATGCTGTGATTCCTTCATTCCAAGATGCGTGTGCCTCTGTAGGCTGCTTTGGGCCTTTTAATGTGGAGACATCCACATCTGTACTGTTTGGAGTATCTGTTTTGTTGCTGCAGTCGATCAGAAGTTCGTTTTCTGTGCTACTTTCTTAAACAAGCGATAGAAAACAGAAAGAGCTGCAGATGACTTATTCTGTCATTGCATTGTGGTGGCTCTGGAAACAGCAGTGGGGATATTTTCCTCATTAGCAGCCTGATTTTTTTATTTTATTTTTTTTATTTTTTTGTGGTAGATAAAGATGTGGCAGACTGCACAGTAACATTTGAATAATAGCCTGATGAAAAGAGCTGATTTCTTGCTTTAGTGGGTTTATGAAGCCCTTAACATAAAATCTGATGTTCTTAACATTTACATTTTGTAGCAAGCTTGAAAGGCATTTTTTGTTGCTTTTGTCTTTTTTTTTGTCTTTCGCTTTGGGGTTTCTGAGCGAAGACAGCTGATTTTTGCACATTGTCTAGCAAGAAAATAGCTCCTTATTAGCAGACAATCTTGCTGTAATGAATTGATATTGCAGCTTATTTCTGGCTAATCCTTTGGTGTCGATTCAGAAGCACATTAATAGGCACTGTTTTGAGATGCACAGAAGATGGCATGGTCAGGGAGGGTCTCCAGGTGAGATACTGGTCTACCAATTGCTCTATGCTTTGTTCTCTCTATATGATACCTGTAAATAAGATGGGGGATTTTATTTTCATTTTAGTTGGAAGAGGAGGACTAAAATGCAATCGCAGGGAATTGCCCCAGACTGTCCATTTTCATTTGGATGATCCTCCATCTAATAAATCTCTTAACTTATTTCTTGCCAAATTCAGTGCATTCAAAATATATAGATAAATAAACATTAGCACTAATGAGAGAAAACGAAACAAATTTCGTACTGGAAAAGAGTCCTCTTTCTGCATCATTGGACGCTTCTCCCCAGGTCCTTAAGCTCCTTCTAATTGAAACCTCCATTTTCCACAGCTGCACGGGGCCAGGCTGTTGGGATTTCCAGAGGAATGACAGCCAGATGGAAATGGCATAGTCCAGTGGTTCAGGGTTTGCTTTCTGAAAGTCATCTCTCTGCCTCTGGGTGGGCAGTGTAGGTGCTGTGCGCAGTAGGAAAGCATGTGGGCAGGATGCAGTGGGAACGCAGACCATTGCTGGCTGACACAACAAAGAAAAGAGAAATGCCAAGGGGGTGATCACAATTGAATGCATCCTACTGCTGTCTCAGGATTGGGTTTGGGTGACAGCTGTGATAACCCCAGTGCTGCAGGAAGGACCAGCTTTCTTTGTGGAGTTGTTTTTGTCTCCTCCTGTAAATCAGATCAGTGCTTAGAAGCTTCAGTCCTATAGCACTTACTAGAGGACCATGGTGGGGAAGGCTCTCGTTACGTTATGCTGTCATTTCCATCATCTGTGGCTGCTGAGACCAGCGTGGGAGAGGAACCAACCAAAGCCTTGTGGTAAAAACCATTGGGTTTTATGTGAGGATTGTTTTAAGACATGGAAGGATGTAAGAGGGCAAATGGCATCTCTGAAACAAATGAACACACACAAACAACCCTTTTTTTTTTTCTTTTTTTGGTCCATACATGGCCTCAGTACCTCTTAGCAGGTGATGAGCACCGGTTTCAAAATCAATTCCAAGTGTGAAGCACTCACTGTACCGCTGGCACTGCTTCCAGCCCTGCTTAGGAGCTGATCCCAGATGGTATTGCTGTGTGCATTTTACACCATTTTAGAAACAGACTGTTTATTTTGTCTGTTATTCACACTTCGTTGACTTATGCTGTGATGATCAAAGGGGACTCAGGGTCTTCCATACCTATCATACCTCCTGTCTGTGTTTGAAGCTACAACATGACGTGTGTCCTGGAAGCGCTGATACTAATAGTCTGTCTTCTGTTCCTGGAAGGTCTTGTTTCTGTAGATAGAGCTAGATTGGAAAATTCACCCCTTCTGAGCAAAGAAGTCTTATTGATAGGATTTCCTAATTGGGTATATGCATAGTTGTGCTCTCATATAGAAGCATAAAAATAAAGGTATTGAGAGCAGGTGTCATAAGATGCCCAGGTATAAAGATGTAGGGAAATGCCTTTTTCAGACTGCGTTAGAAGCAGAAGGTGAAGTTCTAGGGTCTTTGGACAACGGACTCAGAGAACACAGCTCCAAGCTGTAGCAACCCCTGAAATTGGAATAATTCTAATTATTTTAATCCCAGAAGCAGTGCAGCGTGGTTTTTGCTGAGATGGAATGTGGATTTGAAAACGAATGCAAACAGGATATATCTGTGTTCCTCTGTAAATAAAACACCACAAATAATTCCGAATTCATTCTCTGTGAATTGTCTCATGTAAAACACACAATGCCACGTTGTCCTGAAACTGCTGGCATGTTTTCTGATAGCTGAAAGGGATCGGGTGGACCCGTTTACATTAGGGAAAGTAAATGCTAATTCCTAAAACTCTATGCAAATTAACAAATTATTTTTACTTTAAGTGCACTGTTATTATTTAGTATTTACGTAGCATTATATATTTTCAGAACACTTTATAGGCATGGATTAATCAGACCTGAATAAGCAAAGCTTAATAAGAATGGAAAATTACATGGAAATGAAGGCACTCTTGCTCAGTTTTACCTGCTCCTGAATGATGCGTGAGTCACTTTCCATACCCCTAAAGGTACTTTCTAAAACACTTAGGGAAAAAAATCTCACAGTAATACTGCTTAATATCCCTAAAAACATTTCATTTAGGAAAGAGGTAGAATTTATTCTGTCAAGAGCTAATGACAGCGCAGATGAGTGGCTCTGAAGAATGTAAATGCTGCTTTATCGTCTTATGCTGCGCAGAACTATTTAAGCTGATTTAATTCAGGTAAAAATGTATGGATGAGGGATTACTCCCTTAATTTGAAGTTTACTTGGGAGCTGCAGTATTTGACTCCAGGAAGTTTCTTTAGGTGAGAACAGGAGGAAGACTGAGTTTTGTCTTAATGTTTCACCGTAAGCTTTTAAGAGGAAAGAACAGCTGAGATGTGTGGCTTATAGGAAGTGAATGGGATGGAGCACTGCCTGGGCTGGCTGTGTGATGCCTTCCAGCTCGGGTACTGCTGCATGGTGCTAAGAAGTCCCTAAAAACCTTTGAGGATTGGTATGGCTGTTCACTGATGCACTGTCAGGTGAAAATGTCAGTTGCTGTGCTCCTTCGAGGCTAATTTCTTTTCTTTTTGACAATAATGACCTTAGGTAATTGATTCTTCCAACATCTGGTGTGCAGATTGACACGTGGAGCTGAAGTCCCCAGAAGTATAAGTTATCCATTTTCATTGTGCCCAGCAGAATAGA